TTAACGTACTTGACAATATCTGATTAAATCATTATTCGTACTTCTAGCTTGGCCCGTCTTTACAGCTGGAGGTACAAGAAGTTGGAAAATCTTCCTCACATCGCGCAGCTGCCCGCTTTTGCTAACGCCAATGCCGGATTTTTGTATGAGTATCAGTTGATCGACGTAGGGGACTTCAACGGGGTCGGCGAGTCATCTCCAAGTCCTCACTTTTATCAGGTAATGTTTATGGTCCGCTTTCACTCTGATGGCTTAATTAACTTAGAATCTCGCCGAAGCTGAGTACGCCGTCGCTATCTACACATATATGCGACTGATCGGTTATCCAGCAGAGAAGATCTCGATCTTGACAACGTATAACGGTCAGAAGTACCTTTTGAGGGACATCGTTCGTCGACGTTGCTCTGACAATCCGATCATCGGGGAACCTCGAAAGGTAAGAAATCAGAGAGGTTACAACGCTAAATGATCCACCATAAGTGATCCTCGATAATGCATGTTATTTGAGGTGTTTTACTATTAAGACTAGACAGTAAATTAAAACTCACCAAACTTGACAGCGCTAGAGATTAACTTCGTTGACTTTCTGTATTCTGTGCTGTCACCATGGTTCAACGTTAAGGAGTTGGTCACTATGGTGATCTGTGATCTGAACTGGTGAGGTCTGATGAGGCAGTGTTTTCGAGGGTACTGCAGAATTAGCCTTCCAGGCGTCTGATCTTGAATGGAAGTGCATTGTTAATGGCATTTCTTCGAATCCTAAAAATGATTTCTGTCCGTCTGATATCAAGCCTTTAAGGTGACGTTAGATAGTCTTTATTGATCGTAATCGGGTCTAGAATCTGATTTTCGCGATCTATAGTTAATTTATACTTCTTCTTGTACATTTAAGCTTCCAGTTCTCTCGTACGTCAACTTTAAAAGTTCATAATAGTCCCGCTATCTTGAACCACCTGAAGCATCAAGCTGTGCATTCAGCGGTCAGTCATATTTGTAATATCAGTATTAATCACCAAACTTTAGTATTCCTGACATTTCTCCGATGTGGCGGTCGAGATAACCATCAGTTTGTCCAACGGCATTTTGTAATATCTGTCGGCCTATAGATTATAACTTCTGTCGTTATTTCAGTCTTGACGCATCGATGATCCACCAGTTACCCAACTAATGATAATTCGCAAATAGTAGTTGGTGCTTCGTAACGATTTCATGCCTCTTGAC